AATGAATTACACGACACTGGAATTTGCTTATAAGTCTTAGTTTTTATACATAAGAGTAGTTCCAAACATGAAAAGTTCAATTTCAAATAAAAATGAAACACTATATTTTAAAATTTTAAAATTATATAGTTTGGAAATTATTCATGATGGTTTGAAGGGAAATTAGTTATGAAATCATAAATGTATGTCTTTATGATTCCAAAAGCTTGATAACATCACCTCTGATCATAATATCACCTCTTATCACATCCTAATGCTTTTGGAAGAATACCTTAGAGAAATCATACGACCCAAGGGTTTCATTACCATTGCAAAGCACCAAAGCAGCCTAATCTCTTTAATGGAAGTTCTCTCAAACCACTCTACGTTGGAGTTTAAGTAGAATCAAAGACAATGCCATCAAACTACTGTCTCCATCTTTAAGTTTTAGAATAGATCTTGCTATAAGGACCTTTGATTGCCTTGATTATCTACAATATAGCCTCATCAATGATAATTTTGGCCATGTAGTTCTTGTCATGAGAATCAGCCATTCGGTGGAAAAATTTTGTTGGAGTCACCTTAAACAATATCAACTTAGATCTCTGCAGGCATTTGCATTCCTTCAATCTCCTTATTAGAGAGTCCACTCCTAGTGTCTCTTAGATTTTTGTTCTTGATCTATCTTATTTGGTTCTCTTCTAATCACAATCTCGTCCATTGCAAAGGCAAGACTCAAATCTTTAATTTGATCTAAACAAAACTGAATTTCCTAGCCATTTTCTGACTAGCATAACCTATTAATATTTCTCCTTGTCACCCTTCCTCAATCAGGTCCCTAGAACCATGCAATGTGAGCCATTTATTCTCAAAGCTGAAAAGGACTTATTTCAATTATAATGATTGCATATCTGTCCTCTGTGCATCTGTTAAGATTTCGTGGGAAGAATAATTTGGATTAGACGGATTCTGTTTCTTTTCGGTTTTTGTTGCTTTGTCACTGTTATTTGCTGCCTTTTGGTAGTACATTCCATATGGCCAGCTGCCGCAGTAATTATTTATGGTACCAGCTACTGTACCTGGGCTCCTTTATATTCTGTATTTGTCATAGAAGCTAACTATGAAAAGTTCATTCTCTACGAATTCTCTCTTCTACTCTCCTTCTTTACTCTCTCTAAATTTTCTATCCCTTCTGCTATATTTCTCTGCCCTATTTCTTCTTATTCTATTATCCAGACTGTTGGCCGCCTCATGAGCCAGTGGTCTGACAGTGTCTCCAGGGCCATCTAATCCTTTGTAAATCGAGGCACAGGGGATAGTGATCAGTGACTCGTAGAAGAAATTTTTGGGTCATATCAAGCTTTAACTCCTCAAAGTTTGCATAGACCAAAAGATGATCAATGCAGGAGAACATTTTCTATAAAATTAGACCTGGTTGTCGCAAAATCTGTCTCTTGATTCCCTCACCATACAGCCCAGTAGATAAAATAGGAACTCCATGTCTCTTGCTACTAGACCCACAAGTCATGGACACTACTTCTACGCATCTGTCAACTGGATCCAATTAAACTTTATTCCACATGATTAGAAATGCCCCCTGAAGCCCCCTACTATACCACCTTGCCTTATGGTCGCTCCAAATGCTTCATAGAAACTTTCCCTTATACACTGCGATTTTAGTTTCTTGCAAGCAGACCAGATCCCTTCCCAACTCCTTCATAGAAACTTTCCCTTATACACTGCGATTTTAGTTTCTTGCAAGCAGACCAGATCCCTTCCCAACTCCTTAAGAAAATCCTTTATCACTATTCTCCTATTGCTTTCATTTTACCCATATGTTTAAGGGGATAATGATTTAAATCATTAGAATTTGACAAAACTAGAGCTTTCCATTCATCCTTCTCCTCCGTACCCTTCAGCTTGCTTTGCTTCTTATAGTTGATAGTCCACTCTAGCCTTCTCAGTTCCCTTTCCTTGTTTCCCTGCCCTCCATACCCTTTCTGGCTTCTTACATGGCAAGTGCTTTCAGGAGAAGACCTTTTCTCTCTCCTTGCGTTGATTACGTCAAAGAGATTTAAAGCTTGTTGTTCATAGCCCTTTTTACTCATTCCGAAGAGATTATGCAGCCTCATTACATTATCCCTAACCCAATTATCCATTTCTTTCTCCAAAACATCACAAGCCTTCACCTCATCGCAATCCCGAAATGCCCCATTGTCCAAGCCAATTGATGAATCCAACCTAACTAGGTCAGTTCCTATCCTTGGTCCCATGAGAAGTAGAAGACCGGGTTGAGGTGAAGGAACTATTCCTTGACAAATAGCAGGAGTTGAAGCTTTCTCTAACTCAACATTTTCATTAGCTGAACGACAATTGGGTGTTCCCTTGCTGAAATATGTCGGGATTATTTCTAGAAGAGGAAGAAACTCACTTAACAAGTTGATCTTTTGAGCCTTTTATTTAAAACTATACCTGCAGGCTTGGCGTTAAATTTAAAGCCTAAAGCCCTCATATTTCTTAATCACCCATTTATCTTTCTCCTTTGCTGATAGCGTAGGCTTAAGTTGATTTAGCTTGGCACCTCACTTCCAACAGTTATTGTTCCAAGGCCAATTTTGAAATTTGGAGATAGCTTTTGCTGTAAAGTAGCAGATCTTTGCAGATTATAACCATAAGAGGTTCTAGTTT